CCATTACATGGATGACATCCTTCTTTGCTCCCCACAACCAGCGGAAATAGAAGAAGCATATATAGATCTCACTAGATCCCTAGAAAATTGGAGACTGAATATAGCAAGCGAGAAGGTCCAAAAATCTAGTGTTAGCAAATTCCTAGGAGCAACCATTTACACAGATGTAATTTGCCCCCAAAAGCTTGAGATAAGACATAATCAATTGCGAAATTTGAATGACTTCCAAAAACTCCTAGGGGATATTAATTGGTTGCGCCCATACTTAAAGATACCCACCACTGAATTGACTCCACTATTTAAAACCCTAGAAGGAGACCCACAACTAACGTCACCGCGCTCCCTCACACCTGAGGCATTACAAGCCATTCGCAAAGTAGAACAGGCTTTGATGACAGCACAATTAAATAGAGTGCAATCGAATGAACCCTTTGAGTTGTGTGTGCTTCCCACCCCGGAGCTGCCAACAGCAGTTTTATGGCAGCACGGCCCACTGATCTGGATCCATCCCCAAGCCTCTCAGGCTAGGACAATAGAGTACTATCCGGCAGCCGTGGCCAAACTTGCTTTGAGAGGAGTAAAAACCTCCATGACACATTTCGGAGAGGCTCCAGCTAAAATTATAACCCCTTACAGCGTAGAACAGATACAAGTATTATGTGCTATGAACGATGATTGGGCCATACTTGCTTACAGTTTCTCAGGAACCTTTGATAATCATTTCCCTAAACATCCCCTCATCAACTTCGCCAAAAATCATCTCCTAGTATTTCCTCGGGTCACTAGCCTAACCCCGCTGCCTCATGGAAAAACAGTTTACACGGACGGGTCTAAGACAGGCACAGGTGCCTATGTCCATGATGGCAAAGTTGTGACAAAAGGCTACACGCCTGACACTCCACAAATAGTGGAATGTCGCATAGTCTTAGAGGTCCTACAAATCTTTCCTGAACCTTTAAATATTGTGTCTGACTCCTGTTATGTAGTTAATGCAGTCAAATCTCTAGAAGTGGCCGGGCTAATCAAAGCGTCCAGCCCAGTAGCCACTTTGTTCAAACAGATACAATCAGCACTACTTCATAGGCAATCTCCTTTGTATATAACTCATATCAGAGCACATTCAGGCCTTCCCGGGCCTATGACCCAAGGCAACCACCTGGCAGACCTCGCAACCAGAAATATAGCTTTTCCCCTGCTAGACCCTATCACCACAGCTTCAAAATTCCATACACAATTTCATGTCACTGCCGAAACACTGCGCAAGCGGTTTAGCATAACCAGGGCCGAAGCTAGGAACATTGTCCTTAGCTGCCAACATTGCTGCAGCTTCCTTCCCACACCTCATGTTGGGATCAACCCCAGAGGTATTAGGCCTTTACAAGTTTGGCAAATGGATGTGACGCATATTTCGTCTTTTGGGAAACTGAAATATGTACATGTATCCGTGGATACTTGTTCAGGAGTCATCTTTGCCTCCCCATTGTCAGGAGAGAAAGCTTCCCATGTCATCCAGCACTGCCTTGAAGCTTGGAGCGCATGGGGGTTACCACAGATTCTGAAAACAGACAATGGCCCAGCCTATACCTCTACAAAATTTGCTCAATTTTGTCATCACATGGGGATAAAACATATCACTGGCCTTCCCTACAACCCACAGGGTCAAGGGATTGTGGAACGCGCGAACCGCACGCTCAAATCCTATTTACTTAAACAAAAAGGGGGAATTGAAGATATACCCCCCACACCAAAAACTGCCATAGCCCTAGCACTTTTCACTATAAATTTTTTGAATCTGGATGCTCAAAGCCATACAGCAGCGGATCGCCATAATCAGTGGCCAAAAGACCCACAAGAACTAGTAAAATGGAAGGACGTGTTATCTAACCAATGGAAGGGCCCGGATCCAATCATAATCAGATCCAGGGGAGCTGTGTGTGTTTTCCCCCAGGGTGAAGAAAATCCCTTCTGGATCCCGGAGCGCCTAACGAGGAAAGTCCTAAACAAAGGAGATGACTTCGCTGTACCTCCTGACCCTGCTCCTGACACTGGAGACCCCGACTCAGGGAGTATTGAGATGGGGAATCCTGTCTGCCTTTCCTAAGCCTATGCCTGTCCGTTTCAATGCAGCCGTTTTTCCGCGCTTTTTCACTACCAATGCTAGTATGAACTTGCCCTACTTAGTTAAAGACACCCTAGTAGCTCCCCTGGGAGAAAACCGATCCTTCGTAACTAATGGGTCATTATGCTTCACCACTCAGAATCTAGCTGGCTGTATCTCCCTGAAACGGAGGAAATACGGATGGTTCAGTGACATAATTCTAGAGGCCAGTAGCCTCCCCGTTATGTCAGCTAAATTTGAAGGGCCTAATAAGGAAGGGAGCCCGTCCTATAAGAACATGACTATCCACCAGATGGTTCTCTGGATCAATGGCACATTTGTACACTCTCCCAGGAACAATTCCACCGACAGGCCTCGTCAACCCAAATATGCCTCCCATTGTGTGGGCGACTATGAGGGAGAGCTGTGGCCCTGGACTGACTGTCAGTCAACTGTAGTAACGTGGGCAACTGAGAGGCAGGAGTTTACCATCTCCCCAGATATGGAGGGACGGCCAGCCAATGAGGCTTGGTGGCCAGTAAAGGTGCTCGAAGGCGAGTTTCGTCAGCAGCTGAGCATGAACCCCTTCCATAAATGGATGCTGTGTGGAGTCAATGGCTCGTGTACCGACCTCTCCCCCTTTTCCGCCCTCCAGGGTGGGGGAATCGGTGTAAAAAATATCACCTTTTGGTGCGAGAATAACCACATGCGCGCACACTGGAACATGATCATGACCCATAACAACGAGAACTACACGTGTTCAGCAAAATCAGGTCCAGAGTCACCTAATTCCCTTTTTCCACCTTCTCCAGTATGCGTATACCCCCCATTTCTGTTTATCTTATCCAATAGTAGCTTTGACTCCTGCTCCAATGAAACCTGCTTTCTGTCTCAGTGTTGGGATGCGCGTAACTTTACCAATGCTTTGGTAGTCCGCATCCCCCGTTGGGTCCCTGTTCCCGTAGACGCCCCTAACACCATGACTCTGTTTCGAGAAAGGCGCGATTTCGGTGTTACAGCCGCCATAGTGCTCCTGATCTCCGCGACCGCGGTCGCAGCCACCGCCGCTGGTATAGCTTTAGACACCTCCATCAAATCGGCTACAGAGCTCAATAACCTTGCAGCCTCAGTAGCTTCTGCCCTGGACCAACAGTCCACACTTGATGGCAAACTGAAAGGAGGAATAATGATCCTCAATCAACGCATAGATCTCGTGGAGGAACAAATAGAGGTGCTCTGGCAAATGGCCCAATTGGGATGTGAGCGGAAATATCGTGCCCTCTGCATCACTAGCATTCAATATAAAAATTTTACACGGGCAGCTAATCTGTCACGAGACCTGTCCCAGTATCTTTCAGGAAACTGGTCCCAAGACTTCGATGGGACACTAGAAGAGCTGCGGCGAGAAATTATCCACATCAACTCCACCCGTCTAGATATCTCCGTAGCGGAAGGACTCTCTTCCTGGTTCCTCAGAGCTCTCTCCCACGTCAAGGAGTGGGCGGGCATGGCTGGGATGGGCGTGTTCCTGCTTGGAGGTCTCATGCTCTTACTCTGGTTGTTATGCAGACTCCGCAACCAACATAAGCAGGACAAGGTGATCCTTGCTCAAGCCCTAATGGCGATAGACGTTGGCGCCTCTCCCCAAGTGTGGCTCAACATGCTTAAGAAGGAAGCTCGGCTTTAGCTTGAGGTAGCTCTTGCACCCTGAGCCCATGTGGCACTGCACCAGGCCCGAGTACCTCAATGCTTAATCACAGCTTTCTTTAAGAAGCTCATGGTGCAAGAGGGTTGAGAAAAAGGGTCCAAACCCTTTGTACCAAGCGGTCCCAACGCCAGCCAGAGGATGCGAGGCAAAGCACTGCAAGAGGTCTTGGACCCCTCTGAGAGGCATGCCTGACTGCATAGGGGTAGATGCCCAGAACCCCTCTCCAAAAAGGGGGCATCAGGAAGTATGATGGAGGTCAGGCCTCTGTCTCCGCCTCTGCTGGCAAGTTCCGCCTTGAGCTTCTGTTAGACAAAAAAGGGGGAGATGTTGGCAGCCGCGCTCAGAAAATAGCGCCCAATGCAGGGCAGCCGGAAGGCCCCGAACTTCCTAATGACAAATCATCCCACACCACTAAACTACATGCTAATTGCGCCTTGGCATAAGGACCAATGAGACCCACCAAATGGTTATGCTAATAAGGCATATGGAGCCGCACCAACCAGGTCAGAGCATGAGAACTATATAAGCAAGCCTCTCCTTCCCCTCTGGGTCCTGCCCAACTCATTTGTTTCACAAAGAGCTGAAGAATAAAGCTTTCTGCAGAAGAATCCTGCTGTTGTTGCATGCTGTTCTTGCCGGCGAGGACAGGGCACGCGACAGTCAGTGAAGTGGTGAGAACAAAGATCAGGTTGGCGTGCCCTGAAAAAGAGGGTGGGAGAGGAAGGGGTGATGGACTACAGACTACTATTTTGAGGGCTCTTGCCATGAAGGAGAGCAGAGGAATGGGGCTGTGGCTCACAGGGCATGAGCTGCAAGAGGTTTCTTTCTTTTTTTGTTAAGAGATATTTTGGCATATTTGTTCATGTAGAGAGGAGGAAATGAAGAGTTTGTTATAAAGAGGGGACAATTGCTGGCATGAAGTCCTTGAACAAGGCAAGAGAGGACAGGATCTGATGCCCACGTGGAGTTGTAGGGACATGGTGTTACAGATTTCATGTTTATGTCCCCTCAAAATTCCTGTGGTGAAACCCTAACCCTCAGTGGGATGGCATTAGGAAGTGAGGCGTTGGGGAGGTGGTAGGCTGAGGTGAGGTCATGCGGGTAGAGTCCTTTCATAAGGATTAGTGCCCTTATAAGAAGAAAGACCAGCCACCTCTCTCCTTCTCTGCCTCTGTTTCTTTCTGCCACGAGAAGACGCAGCAAGAACATCCATGGTAACTGAAATGAAGGCAGAGAATCTAGGTCCAGTTTCAGGTGACCAGGAGCATTTGTTGGTGGAAGTTTGTAGAAGTTCCTTTCTGATTACTTCCATCTTCCAATGAATAAGAAGGAAGGTCATCATGTGAAAGGATGGCTGGAGGAGAGAGAAGGTGTGAACAGCTGTCAAGCAGAGCAGGAGAGTGAATGAACGCATGGAGTGCAGGACTGCCGGGATCACTACGCCCCATTCAAGTAAGTGCTTGGGATTTCACATGAGACCTATCTGCTGGCTCTGTGTTCTTCTTCAGCCCCCTTCAGCGGCTCAGTTTCAGGTGTGCAGCAAGTTGGATTTTATCATGATTGGGGTTTTACCAATCCAATATGGTGCAAGGAGAGAGGGCCAGAGAATTTAGGGTATGGTAATGAAGGATGCAGAAATATAAAGCATCTATCACAATCTTCATGAAAAAGCTTCTTCCATATTTCCATCTTTAGGCAAGAGCCACAGAAATACCTGTAAAGAGGCTTAAACTTAAATCTGGGAAAGTTTAGGAAGGGAGATACTTTAGAAAATCAATTACCTTAATAATTAACTCCTAGGTAACTTATTAGCTTGATTCAGAGAAGTCTGAACTTTGCAAAGACATGTCCCAGGAGTAATGCTTTTTGAAAAGAAAGGTATTAATGTTTTGGGCATTCAATTTTGTTTCCACTTGAGAAAAGAAGGAGAAAAAATTTCCCTTGAAACTGCCTAACCACTGTGGTGTTCCCAGCCTCACTCAGCTGTTAAATGGGTCTAGGAGAAACTCTGTTACAGGGTCTTGAGGTACAACTGGTAGCTGCCTGAGTGGTGGGATGTCAGACAGTGTAAAAGAGGCCCTTCCTCAACCCCCAGCTCCTACAGTGAGCAAATAGTGGGACCTCTGCCCTCATGTAGCTGGCAGTCCAGCAGGAGAAAGACAATCACAGAATTGATTAAGTAAAATGCAAAGAAATTAAGAGGATAGAAGTTTTAGGGGAAAGGATGGAGATTAAATTTTAAATAGAGTGGCCAACGACCGCCTCTCTTTGAATGTGGTGTTTGTGTAAATACAGGGTGATTAGTACAGTCCAGGCCCAAACTGTGACTCTCTGGGGGAAGACTGTTCCAGGCAGAGGGAACAGCACATGTGCTGGTGTTTTGGGAGATGCTGAAGTGGCACAAATGGAGCAGAGCCGAGTGGAAAAATGAGAGCAGAAAGACAGGTGGGGAGCCACCCAGGAGGGCCTCGTAGGTCACAGTGAGGACTGGCTTTTTCTGAGTGAGGTAGGAAGCCTGGACTTGTCTCAGCAAAGGAATGACATGATCTTCCTTCTGCTTTAACAAGAGCACTCTGGCTCCTTTAATGAAGATGGACTGTACGGGACTAGGGCAACGCCAAGGGAGTAGCAAGGAAGCTCCTGGAATCGCCCAGACCAGAGGTGATGGTGTTTTGGCCCTGGGAGGGGACACAGTGGCCATTGACTCCCCATGTGCAGTTCCCATTCTACTCTGCAGACCCCGTGGAGGAAGAGACTGTACTTACACACCAGGGGAGTCTAATTATTTGGTGCAGTTTGACAAGTTGCCCTTGCAGGAATAAACTTGAAATCGTTCCACTCTTTATGGTGACTTGATTCTTTTAAGAGCTCCCCAGTTGAGGGGAAAAAAAGAAAATCTGAACAGACCTATGACCAGCAGAGAGACTGAATTAGTGATCAACAACTGCCCACTGAGAACAGCCCAGGCCCACCAAACATTTGAAGAGAAATTAATTCCAATTCTTTACAAACTCTTCCAAACAGCAGGAAAGGAGGAACACTGCCCAACTCATTCTATGTGGTCTATATAACCCCAATAACAAAACCTATACCAAAACCAAAGACATCACCAGAAAAGAAAGGTTCAGACCAGTATGTCTTACAAATACAGATGCAAAAACCCTCAAGAAAATACTGGCAAATCAAATCCAGGAACACATAAGGGTTATATACCATAACCAAACAGGGCTTATCCCAGTACAGGGTTGCAAGGTTGGTTTATCATGCAAAATTTGATCAAGGTAATATACCATATTAATAGAAGAAAGGACAAAAACCACATGATTGTGTCAATAGAGGTGAAAAATACATTTGACGAAATGCAAGAGCACTTTATTATAAAACATTCATTAGACAAGAATTAGAAGGGAACCTCCTCAACCGGATAAAGGGCAGCCACAAGAAACCATCAGCTAACATCGCACTTAATGGAGAAAGGCTGAACGCCCTCTCCTGAAGATCGGTTGCCCCCTCTTGTCACTTCTATTCAATGTTAGACTGGAGGATCTAGTCGGGGGGGTTGGCAAGAGAAAGAAATGAGAGACATCAGATTTGAAAACAAAGAAAACATCTCTATTTGTGGATAGCATGATCTTGTATTTAGAAAACCCTAAGGAATAGACAGAAAGACCATGAGAGCTAGGAACTGAGTTCAGCAGGGTAAAGATCAATTTCTAAAAATAATTTCTATTTTTTATTTCTAAAACACTTGGATTGAGCCATCTGAAAATAAAATTCAGAAAAAAATTCTACTTACAAAAGCATCAAAAAGAAGATGCTCCCACTGTTTTTTCAGAGTTCTGGCAAGGAGTTCAGAGTCAACATCAGGACAAGGAGACTCAGTCAGGACCACAGCTTCAGGTGAACCCAGCCAGGTGATTATTCCCAGCAGATGTGTGATGGGACAGGTTCAGATATTGGTAGAAGTTACCCCATGTTCTTGTGGAAAACTGCTCCTTCTAGCTCACACCCTGGCTGCACATAGAGGTGTCCTTAAAGGTCTGCCAGCAGGCAGCTCCTTTTTGGTGGAATTTGGGGAATCCAATATGCCCTTCTTCCCCCATATTAGTCCCTCAGTCCCTCACTCAAAGAACTTCAGCAGTTCAGTCTTGATTCCTGTAACTATGAGACATTTACACTTTAGTACGAGGGAATTTATAGTCCATTCCATGCTCTACATGGATAAAAATGGAAAGAAATTGGGTACCTCTGAGGACTAAAAGCTAAACTGGGAAGCAAAGTGTGAAAAAAATGAACTTGATTCTCAGTGTTGATTTTGACCTCTCTCCTAGTGAATCAAAACTAAAGATCACTTATCCTTGGATAAAGTTCTTTTTTATTAAGGTATCATAGATACACAATCTTATGCTCAGGTTTCACATGACAACATTGTGGTTAGTACAGTGCCCTCCTGTTATCAAGTCCCCACCACATACCCCATCAGCAAAGTAAGATGCTATAGAGTCACTACTTGACTCCTCTGTGCTATATGGCCTTCCCCGTGACCCCCCTATTTATGTGCAGTAATCATAATACCCCTCAATCCCCTTATCCCTCCCATCCCACCCATCCTCCCAACCCCTTTCCCTTTGGTAACTTCTAGTCCATTCTTGGGTTCTGTGAGTCTGCAGCTGTTTTGTTCCTTCAGTTATATTCCACAGATGAGTGAAATCATTTGGTAATTGTCTTTCTCTGCCGGGCTTATATCACTGAGCATAATACCCTCTAGCTCCATCCATGTCATTGCAAATGGTAGGATTTATTTTCTTCTCATGGCTGAATAATATTCCATTGTATATATGTAGTACCTCTTCTTAATCCATTCATCTACTAATGGACACTTAGGTTGCTTCCAAGTCTTGGCTGTTGTAAATAGTGCTGTGATAAACATAGGGGTGCATATGTCTTTTGAATTTGTGATCTTGTATTCTTTGGGTAAATTCCTAGGAGGGGAATTCCAGGGTCAAATGGTATTTCTATTTTTTGTTTTTTGAGGAACCTCCATATTGCTTTCCACAATGGTTGAACTAATTTACATTCCCACCAGCAGGACAGGAGGGTTCCCCTTTCTCCGCATCCTCAGCAGTATTTGTTGTTCCTAGTCTTTTTTATGTTGGCCATCCTAACTGGTCTGAGGTGATATCTCATTGTAGTTTTAATTTGCATTTCCCTGATGATTATTGATGTGAAGCATCTTTTCATGTGCCTCTTGGCCACCTGAATTTCTTCTTTGGCAAGTGTCTGGTCAGATCCTCTGCCCCTTTTTTTAATCGAGTTATTTGATTTTTGGGTGTTGAGGCATGTGAATTCTTTATATCAACCCCTTATCAGATATGTCATTGATGAATATATTCTCCCATACTGTAGGATGCCTTTTTGTTCTACTGATGGTGTCCTTTGCTGTACAGAAGATTTTTAGTTTGATATAGTCCCACTTGTTCATTTTTGCTTTTGTTTCCCTTGCCTGAGGAGATATGCTCATAAAAAAGTTGCTCATGTTTATATTCAAGAGAGTTTTACCTGTGTTTTCTTCTAATAATTTTGTGGTTTCATGACTTACATTCAGGTCTTGATCCATTTTGAGTTTACTTTTGGTATGGAGTTAGACAGTAATTATTTTTATTCTTTTACATGTATCTGTCTGGTTTGGCAACACCAGCTGTTGAAGAGGCAGTCATTTCCCCATTGTATGTCCATAGCTCCTTTATCATATGTTAATTGGCCATATATTTGTGGGTTTATATCTGGACTCTCTATTTCTATTCTGCTGCCCTTGTCTATGGGTCTGTTCTTGTGCCAGTACCAAATTGTCTTGATTACTGTGGCTTTGTTGAAGTTGGGAAGCATAATTGCCCCAGTTTATTCTTCCTTCTAAGGATTGTTTTGGCTATTTGGGGTCTTTTGTGATTCCATGTGAACTGTAGAACTATTTGTTCCAGTTTGTTGAAGAATGCTGTTGGTATTTTGATAGGGATTGCATTAACTCTCTAGATTGTTTTAGGCAGGATGGCCATTTTGACTATATTAATTCTTCCTAGCCAGGAGTATGGGATGAATTTCCATTTGTTAGTGTCCTCTTTAATTTCTCTTAAGAGTGTCTTTTCTCTTAGAGCTGCCTTTCCTTCATCCCACAGAAGTTGGGGCATTGAGCTGTTGTCTTCATTTGTCTCCATATGCTGCTTGATCTCTGTTTTAATTTGGTCATTGATCCATTGATTATTTAGGAGCATGTTGTTAAGCCTCCATATGTTTGTGAGCCTTTTTGTTTTCTTTGTACAATTTATTTCTAGTTTCATACCTTTGTGATCTGAGAAATCGGTTGGTACAATTTCAATCTTTTTGAATTTACTGAAGATCTTTTTGTGGCCTAGTATGTGGTCTATTCTGGAAAATGTTCCATGTGCACTTGAGAAGAATGTGTATCCTGCTGCTTTTGGATGTAGAGTTCTGTAGATGTATGTTAGGTCCATCTGTTCTAGTGTGTTGTTCAGTGCCTCTGTATCCTTACTTATTTTCTGTCTGGTTGATCTGTCCTATGGCATGCCTGGTGTGTTGAAGTCTCCTAAAATGAATGCATTGCAATCTATTTTCCCCTTTAATTCTGTTAGTATTTGTTGCACATATTTGGGTGCTCCTATGTTGGGTGCATAGATATTTATAATAGTTATATCTTCTTGTTGGACTGAGCCCTTTATCATTATATAATGTCCTTCTCTGTCTCTTGTTACTTTCTTTGTTCTGAAGTTTATTTTGTCTGACATAAGTATTTCAGCTCCTGCTTTTTTTCTCCCTATTGTTTGCATGAAATATCTTTTTCCATCCCTTCACTTTTAGTCTGTGTATGTCTTTGGATTTGAAGTGAGTCTCTTGTAGGCAGTATTTAGATGGGTCTTGCTTTTTTTTCCATTGAGTAAATCTATGTCTTTTGATTGGTGCATTCAGACCATTTACATTTAAGGTGATTATCGATAGATATGTACTTATTGCCATTGCAGGCTTTGAATTCATGTTTACCAAAGGTTCAAGGGCAGCTTCTTTACTATCTAGAAGTATAACTTAACTCGCTTATTATGCTATTATAAACACAATGTGAAGAGTCCTTTTTCTCTCCTCCTCCTCTCTTTATATGTTAGGTGTCACATCTGTACTCTTCATGTATCCTTTGACTGACTTTGTGGGCAGCTGATTTCATTTTGCATTTGGTTAGTAATTTATTGGTCTACTTCCTTTACTGTTTTTTTATTTTCTTGGGTGACAGCTGTTTAGCCTTAGGAGCACCTGCATCTAGAGCAGTCCCTTTATAATACACTGTAGAGTTGGTTTGTGGGAGGTAAATTCCCTCATCTTTTGTTTATGTGGGAAATACTCAATCCCTCCTTCAAATTTAAATGATAATCTTGGTGGGTAGAGTATCCTTGGTTCTAGGCCCTTCTGTTTCATTGCATTGAATATATCATGCCACTGCCTTCTGGCCTGTAATGTTTCTGTTGAGAAGTCTGATGACAGCCTGATGGGTTTTTCCTTTGTAGGTGATCTTTTTTCTCTCTCTGGCTACTTTTAATACTCTGTCCTTATCCTTGATATTTGCCATTTTAATTATTATAGTCTTGGTGTTGTCTTCCTTGAGTCCCTTGTGTTGAGAGATCTGTGCACTTCCATGGCCTGAGACTATTTCCTTCTCCAGATTGGGGAAGTTTTCAGCAATTATTTCTTCAAAAACAGTTTCTATCCCTTTTTCTTTCTCTTCTTTTTCTTTTACCTCTATAATG